ATGAGACTCACATGGTCTTACATTCATGACTGCATGTAATGTACATCTGTGTGTGTGTCTGTGTCGGTTGCAGAAGGTCAACGGGTCTCCGTTCATGACCAACGACGCCGGGTTTGCGCTGGCGTACGCAGTCATCATGCTGAACACGGACCAACACAACCACAACGTGCGCAAGCAGAACATCCCCATGACTGTAGAGGTGAGACACGCACACACACCTGCACACACACCTACAAACACCTATAGACGCATAGACATGCCTACCCGCCAACACACATCTACGATTATCAACTCCTACACACACTTGTGTATATACACACACACACACACACACACACACTAGCTCTGCCCTTTCCACACAGGGTTAATTTATTCTCAGAGCTTAATTAAAAACGAACTCATTCAATAATTACACATTTTTTTTCAGCCCCCCCAAAAAATGGAAACTTGGCTACTGAGAGAGAAAGAACAGAGAGAGCAGCACAAAGTGAGAGAGGGAGAGAGAGGGAGAGGGAGAGAGAGAGTGAAAAAAAAGAGAGACGGAGGGTGAGAGATGGAGCGAGAGACATACAGAGCTAGAGCCGTAGAGAGAGAGAGAGACCGTACCATTTGTCAGCGTTGGTAGTGACATTCCACTGTGTGTGCCAACACTACCACCACCACCACCCCCCCCCCCCCCTCCACTGCTCTTTGATTGTCCTCCTCTCTGATGCTATCTCTCAAAGCCCCCCCGGCCACAACAGCTGTGGCCAGAGGTGGTCTGGTGATCTCACCCACCACCACCACCGGCAGCACGCTCATGTGAACAAGAGGGTGGGGGGGTAATAATAGTCCCTCTGGCGTTGTCTCTCTGTCTGTCTCTGTCTGTCTGTCTCTGTAGATGATATATAGTATATATCATATACTGACATATATATCAGTATGTGATATATACTACTGATATATATCAGTATATGATATATCGGTATATGTACTATATTATATACTATATAATAGGAAATATTTGGTCCACTTCAACAAGACTTGGGTGTCGTCTTCACTCATCACACTCTCTCTCTCGCTCTCTCTGTCTCTCTCTCCCTGTCTGCCTTGCTCTATCTCCCGGCCTATTTGGATTGTCCTCTCGTCTCATTGGCTGTCTCTTCCCCTCTGGTTTTTTGAGTGACAGCTGCTGAAGACTAAACATGAGTCCCTTAAGACGGGCCTTAGAAGTCTCTGTGGGTGGGCCACTGTCACTGAAAGACTCTCTCTGTCTCTCTCACCCTCTTTCACTTTCATGATCATTCTCATGATCTTGTTCTCTCTCTCTCTCTCTCTCTCCCTCTCTCTCACACTCAATATCCCTTCAGACTCTCATTATATACCTCTCGCTCACTCTCATCTCTGTTTTTCTCCCCCCAATAGAACCACACATTGTCACCTCTCTCTCCCCCCCACACACACACACCACTCTTGACACATGGCGTCCTTAACATACATGTGCACATTGACACTTTAAAAACGGGTCACACAACACACACAACACACAATCTCGCACCCACGCCGCCTGGCCTGTTCTGTTTGAACTATTCCCAGCCCGTTCCCGGGGGCTTAATAGTAATTTGGACAAGTGGGATCAGGGAATTCCAGCCCCGATGGACAACAGAGAGCGTAACCCCCGGGCCGAGGCCCAGATCCAGCACCAATAAAAGCGGCGCCATGCTCTTTACGGGCCTGGCGGATCGCCTGGCGGCGCATTCACCGCGCCATTTGTTAGCGTCGCAGGTCGCCGCATTAGCCGAGGTATGCGGCCGCACAGTTTTACGCACGTCGAATCCTAAACCCTAAACCCATAGATTTCTTTCTTTTTTTTTTTCATAATGTAGTTTGATCGGAACGGGTTTGATGGCCGGTGTGGCGGTGTGATACTCTGTGTAAATTTAGCCCGGCGGTGGGAGAGAGAGGGGGGAGAGCGGGGGAGACAGAGGGGAGAGCATCATGAGCGATGTGTTTGCGTTCCATCTCGGGAGGACTGTTTGGCAGCCTGTATGTCCAGCTGCTGCCGAAGCTATTGTTACCATCGGCTGCTCCGCGAGACGCTGTGCCACACTCTGTCTGTGTGTGTGTGTGTGTGTGTGTGTGTGTGTGTGTGTGTGTGTGTGTGTGTGTGCGTGTGTGTGTGTTCATTAACATGCTCGTATGTTAGCGATACCATGCTAGCACCACCACCGCCACCACCCCATCTCTTCCTTGATCCCCCTCTCCTTGTGTTTATTCCCCCCCCCCCCCCCCCATCACCCCCAGAGCATCAAGAAGAGCCTTGATGCTGTCACTCATCGCCCCCTTCCAGTTATGTTTATTTACAGGGAGGGGGGGGGGGGTGGTGGCAGGCAGGGTGTCCCTGGCTCCTGGCCATGTTGTTTTTTCCCCTCTGAAACCACGGCTAAAGAGGATCAGGTGACCACATGAGACAGCGTTGGGGGGGGGGGTGGGGGGGGGGGGGGGGGGGTATTGTGTATGAGGTCTCTGGATGAGGGCCCATTGATTTTATTTTAATTTATTTCATATTACGGTCATTATTATTACTAGTGCAGGGCCTGTTAGGAACGGGCCGATTGCTTGGCCTCCGGTTCTGCGGCTGTGTTTGCAGCTTTCTGGACAACCGCTCATCCAAACAACCTACACACTCAACACCGCGCTTCCTCGGGTCCTGAGTGTGAGGTGGATCGGATGAACAGTGGTCAAGAAAATCAGAAAAGGACAGACAAACAGAGACTCCTCCATTTCTAGTTAGATGTTTAGGTGTGCTTTTTAATTGACATTGTTCAAACCCGGTTAACCAAGGTGGCGTCTTCCCTTAGCCTCCCCCTCTTAGGGAAGATTCTTCTTATCAATGTATGATCAGTGCAAAATATATACGACATATATAGTTAACGTATCATTCATCTTTTCTTCTGGTCCACAGCAATTCAAGAAGAATCTGAAGGGCGTGAACGGGAACAAGGACTTCGACCAGGACATGCTGGAAGACATCTACAACGCCATCAAGTGAGCGCAATGAAACAAAATCTACATCTCTAATGCATCAGGAGAATATAGATAGCTTGGTATCGGGAAGCCGGTGTTAATATTACACACTCGGTCAGACATGTCCTGACCGTGCCAGAACAGTGGCGTCAAAAAAATAATATTGCGCCGGGACGATTCCCCATCATTAGCACCTTTATCACCCGGTTCCAGCGTAGTTTTAGTTTTACGCGAAAGTCTCTAATTTCCGTCGCGCTTAATTAAGTTCACGGTATCAGCTTTTCCTGCATCTGTGAAGTCCTGGGATGTATAGGGTATCGTCGAGATCCCATATCCCGTATTTCATAGCAATAAGATCATCCGTGTCAGTGAAATCCTAGGCCTCGTCGACGACCCCCCGGACACAACTGAGACCTGGCGCGACGCGGCCATTAAAAAAAATAAAAATACTATTTCTGATTCCTGGGGCTCCTCTGCACTCGCTCTAGTGGTGTTTCTTAAACTAGGCTGTGCAGCGCTGTAACTTACTTTTGTAGCTACTCCAATTTGTGTTGCGTTGATTGTCGGTTGTGTTTGTGGCCATTGTGGTAGTGGATAAGGGGTGATCTCTCACACACACACACACACACACACACACACACACACACTCTGCAAAGTCCTTTGGGTGTCTTGAGAAGTGTGATTATTGATCGTCTCAGCTTCACTTGTAAGTCTCTTTGGATAAAAGAGACTTACAAGTGACTCAATGTGGCCCTAAATGTCAATTCAGTGGAAACACGGTATAGCCCATCACCACCTGACCCTACTCCACGGTTTCCCCCCCCCCACCACCACCACCACCACCAGGACGGATGAGATCGTGATGCCAGACGAGCAGTCGGGCCTGGTGAAGGAGAACTACGTGTGGAGCGTGCTGCTTCACCGGGGGGCCGCGTCCGAGGGCCTGTTCCTCTCGCTGCCGCCGGGGAGCTACGACCACGACCTGTTCTCCATGACCTGGGGGCCCACCATCGCCGCCCTCTCCTACGTGTTCGACAAGAGCCTGGACGACACCATCATCCAGAAGGCCATCGCGGGCTTCAGGTACCGAACGTGACTCTGACGCGGGGCTGGCTGTTGTGTGATGGATAACTAATTAGGCCTCGTTTCCACCAAACAGTCCAGTTCGGTTCAGTTACACATCAGAACGGTTATTTTCGCATTTCCATTGGCAAACGTTGTGGATGGTAGGAAAAATAACTCTTCCGTTCAGTCCTGTTATTCGCTACCTCTCTCTGTTGAGGTTCCTGGCACACACTGACCCTGCACACTGCAGACCCTTAATTGGTCAACAAGGTAGAGCTAGAAACAGGTAGAACCGCCATTTGTCTCGTGTTTATTTCTGCAGTATTTCGCCTTGCTGCCTTCAGCCTTTTATCAAACAAAACTTGTCTCCTTGTTCTAATATACATCCACACATTGAGAAGAAAGAATAGATACTGCAGTAGTACCGTACAAACAAACACCTCCCATCAGGGGGTACTTTGTATGCGTCACACACTGTCACAAATATCATACATTTGTTCCAGCTCTATTTGTCAATTAACAAATGGCTTTCAGTACAATTATAGTAATTAGTAACATTTTCTAGTGAGTTAACGGCATAGTTTCTCATTGGCTAATAACAACTACTAGTCAGTTAGTGACGTGGTTAGTAGTTTTTGAAGTTTTAATAATTTCCCTGGTTCTTCGTTGTCTCGTAGGAAATGTGCGATGATCTCCGCTCACTACGGCTTCAGCAACGTGTTCAACAACCTGATCATCTCCCTCTGCAAGTTCACCACTCTGAGCAGCGAGGTGAGAGACGCCCCAACATGTCCGTCTGAACCCTGAGAGATGGCCTGAGAGATGCGGGAGACCCGGATTCCCAATACTGAATTTCAGTCGCCTAATACTTGTTAATATACTAACTAATACTTGTTAATATACTAATATAATGTGTATATGCCATGGGGTGGCCCCAGTGGGAATCGAACCCCTTACCCCGGTAGTGTTAATCCTAGGCTCTACCAGTTGAGCCACACAGGACCACCAACATATTCATATTATGGTCACTATTCATCAACAACACAGCAGTAGTAGGGGCATCAAAGTGTGGTGGGGAGCGTGTTTGACGCCCAGCCGATGCGCCCAAGTTTGCAACTTCAGTGTCTACCTGTAGGCTTGAGCAAGATGCCCTAACCCCCTACCTGCTCCTTAATGACAGGGATCTGGATCCACTGTAAACAGTGAATAGTAGTGACGTTGTGTATGTGTTGTCGTTACCCCAGTCGGTGGAGAATCTTCCCACGGTGTTTGGCAGCAACGGTAAGGCCCAGGTGGCGGCCAAGACGGTGTTTCACCTGGCCCATCGCCACGGCGACATCCTGCGGGAGGGCTGGAAGAACATCATGGACTCCATGCTGCAGCTCTTCAGGGCCGAGCTCCTGCCCAAGGCCATGGTGGAGGTGGGGACGCTAGCGTTGGCTCTGTTTTTAATCATGGTGAAAGTGCTGGGGACGCTAGCATTAGATCTGTTGTTAGCATGGTGGAGGCGGGGATGCTAGCAGTAGCTCTGTTAGCTCTGTGGCGTTACCGCAGTATGTCCGCAAAATAGTGTACTTTACACCAGAAAATAGTTCACACATGTAGTACAGACATGGTTGTTTGGGATGGAACCATGGTTGTCTTTTGTGGGAGTCTTGTTCTCTCTGCCTGAAGGGGGTTTGTGTGTGTTATACTGCCACCTGCTGGTCGGTTCTGACTGCATGGTGGATTTTGACCCTCAGGTTGAGGACTTTGTGGAGCCAAATGGAAAGATTTCCCTTCAACGAGAGGAAACGCCTTCAAATCGGTAAACAATACAAAATTAGACAATAATAAAATCTTATTTTCCATATATATATATATATATATATATAAAAGATATTCATTTGTTTAAAATAAATGGTAAACAAACAAAAACAACACATTTCCAACAAGTGCTCTTGTTCAGTACATCATGGTCTTCTCTCCTATCCGCTCCACTGCAGCGGGGAGTCGGCCGTGTTGAGTTTCGTCAACTGGCTCACGCTGAGCGGAGCGGAGCAGTCCGGACACCGGGGTCCTTCCACCGAGAACCAGGAAGCCAAGCAGGCTGCCATCCTCTGCATCAAGGTGAGGGAGGAGAGGGCGGTCCATCAGCCATACAGCTGGTAGCTGTGTTGTAAGCATTAGCTTAGTTTCCTAACCGCTAAATAACACGGACGTGAATCTGCCTGAAACCCTGTTACGGTGTTTACATGGCAAATAATATTGGATAAGGATAAGGATCAGCTTACCCAGGTACCGGATTACAATTGGCTTTCCTGTGTCCATGTAAACTCACTGAATGTTGTTTGTTCTTTAAAATGTGTCTCATTGTCTTTCGCTCTCTTCGCCCCCAGCATTGCGACCCAGAGAAACTGATGACGGAGAGTAAATTCCTCCAGCTGGAGTCTCTGCAGCAACTGATGAAGGTACTGATACATGTGCCTTATTTCAAGAGCCCCCTTATAATTGTATTCTTCTTCCAGGGATGGTTAGCAGTAGCCTGCATCCCCAGACCAATGCGCAAATGCGTATTAGTCTGGAACCTCATAGTTAATTTTCGATTTCCGAGGGCCGTTATCAACGGGTGCAGACCAAAATGCCTCTGAACTCAATTGGATAGACCTACAACCAATCAGAGCAACGAAACGCGCAACTTTCTTATCAACAAAAGTGCTGTTGTTTGTTCTTCTTTTAGAGAAAATATACCATCCAGGTTGATTAGATTAGCGGCTAAAACAGATCAGCCATCAGGGTTGTTTACGAAAATGCCATCGTATCAAACCTGCCCCATATAAGATAAACGGTTGTGATTGGCCCAACCAGGTTGGGCCAGGTCTGCTGGAAATTGGTCTGAAAGGGAGGGGGTCTAGATGAATCTGCCAGAGCAAATAAAACATGAGCTCGCTGATTTGTCTCGGGTCCCAGGCTGGGTTAGCAGTGCAATAGGTGCTGAACGGGCAGACGTATAGTGGAAGCACAACTGTGACCAGCCTCACTAAAACTGAAAACATAAGGTCCTCAATACATCACCAGATAAAGGTCGAGTTGTCCTGTGAATGACAAATCTAGGACAAAGTGCTTGTTGTTGAAAGCCACCCCCACCCCTCCTCCCCACCCAGGCTCTGATATCGGTGACACCGGACGAGGAGACGTACGACGAGGAGGACGCAGCCTTCTGTCTTGAGATGCTGCTCCGTGTTGTCATGGAGAACAGGTGAGACATGATTGGTTGACAACTGGGCGACCTTCTAGACCTAGTTCTTCTGAGATCACAGAATATTGGTTGCCGGAGAAAAATCACATATGCATCTAAAACTTGTGATGTGTAATGCAATAACTACCTATTCTTAAAAATATTGATATAAATATGGTGAAATGTGACATTGGACCAGGATAGATCAGTCAAATTACCTTTTAACCATTTAATTATTAGTTTCAGTTTAATGTGGAATTTGAATAACACATGCTTAATGAATTCAGATACACGTCATTAAGGAGCAGGTAGGGGTTAGACAGTACAGAGACAGGTCATTAAGGAGCAGGTAGTGGTTAGACAGTACAGAGACAGGTCATTAAGGAGCAGGTAGTGGAAGGAGGGACTCTTGCTCAAGGATGCCTACAGCCTATAGCCACTATGCTATCCTAATAATTGGCAAACAGTTTGTTGAGGCGGCCATTTTCAAGTTCAAAGTCAAATATTTGGCAGCGAGTCACCTCTGTAACAATGCCAACAACCACCTGTGACTCTCTCTCTCTCTCTCTCTGTCTCTTCTTTCTTTTTCTATCTCTCTTTACCTCTCTTTCTTTCTTTCTTTCTTTCTTTCTTTCTTTCTTTCTTTCTCTCTTTCCCTCTTTCCCTCTTTCCCTCTTTCTGTCCTTCTTCCTCCCCCCTGACTCTCTCTCCCTCCCTCCCCCCCCCACCCTCTCTCTCTCGCTCTTTCACTCTCTCCTCCTCCCTCTCCTCACCAGGGACCGCGTGGCGTGCGTGTGGCAGACCGTGCGTGAGCACCTGTGCCACCTGTGTGTGCACGCCAACGAGAGCTGCTTCCTGGTGGAGCGAGCTGTCGTAGGCCTGCTGCGCCTCGCCATCCGTCTGCTGCGCCGCGACGACATCAGCTCCCAGGTACGCCACCGGGCATCAAACACGGACCCCTGAAACATCTTAGACTGTAACTCCTGAGACTGTAACTCCTGAGACTGTAACTCCTGAGACTGTAAGACCTTAGACTGTAACTCCTGAGACTGTAACTCCTGAGACTGTAAGACCTTAGACTGTAACTCCTGAGACTGTAACTCCTGAGACTGTAAGACCTGAGACTGTAAGACCTTAGACTGTAACTCCTGAGACTCTAACTCCTGAGACTGTAAGACCTGAGACTGTAAGACCTTAGACTGTAACTCCTGAGACTGTAACTCCTGAGACTGTAAGACCTTAGACTGTAACTCCTGAGACTGTAAGACCTGAGACTGTAAGACCTTAGACTGTAACTCCTGAGACTGTAACTCCTGAGACTGTAAGACCTGAGACTGTAAGACCTTAGACTGTAAGGTCTTACAGGTTAAGAGGCCACTATGTCAAGTTATATAGCGACATCTGAATCCTGCACTTCCTTCGCTCACGTCCTTGCGACACATGTAGTAAGGATGTAGTGTGGTGAAAAGGTCTTCTCCTAAATCTGTGGCTCTGGGTTCAGCAACAGAGTTATGTGACATCCTGCAGGAAGCGTCTACGAATCAGACCGGCTATCCTAATGAACTGACCAAACACAACCCCCCCCCCCCCTGTGCATTTTGTTCAAAGATAACACGGCAAAGTTAGCGTTTGTTATTACAAAATATTTTTTTTATTATCACGTTTTCAAAACAAAGTCCTGTCTGCGCGAGTTATCGTATCTGGTAGTTTGAGGCACGGCGAGGGGGGGGTACGTTCGAGAGCGGTGGCGTTACGTAAGGCGGTGGCGTGGAGGTTATCTCTTGTTGACATTAAGTGGGAACAGAACAGAGTGCCGTGATAGGATCTCATGGTCGCCGTGGCCGCCACCGCCGCCGCCCGCGTGTTCCCGCCCCGCCATGTGTTCCCTCGCTGTCCTTTCTCTCGCAGCCCTTCCTCTGATTGGGAGCCTGAACTCCAGCTGAACCGGGCCGAAGACGCAGACGCTTTTCTAGGAATAGTCCAGGAACGGATTCTAGACGTTAGAAGACGATGGCAGGACTGGGATTACGTTGTTATTGTGGATACAAGTCGTATTCCCACACACACGCTAAATTAAAAATCTTATCTCAGATGAAACACTTTCGTAGTATTTGTATCTCCCTCGCTGCACTATAAACAATAACACAGTGTTGTTGATGGACGCTTTCATCCGAAGCGACTTGCATTGAATGTGTCGATGCATGTCGTTCAGGAGCAGGCGGGGGTATAGGCATCCTGCTCCAGAATACCTGGATCAAACCCAGGACCCGGTTCCCACCCAGTCTTGGCTGGGAGTCAACCAGTCTAGCCACTACACCATCCTGCCCCCCCACTGGGTGACACATTCACATATAAGTATCGGTTGTAGAGGCAGTCCCCGCGGCATGGACAGCATTGTGGGTCCAGGTCATCTGTGTCCGCCCTGGACGAGAGACGCGCGTTCCCACCGATAGTTCGGCCCGATTCAGAAGTGAAATTGAGACTTTATTGTGTTTTTTATTTGGTTCGGTTAGTGTTGACACTGGACTTTGTGAGGCGAACCAAACGTTGTAAACAAATGCATAGCGATCAAGCAGCTCGCTCGTCTATTGGACAGAAAATCTGAGGTAAACTCAACCAAACGCTTCCTGGTTTTCGGACAAAATATATACATTATATTGTTGACTTTTATGCAACATTGATCTACCGTGTGACAGAACCAAGTTTCAAACATTCTGTCAATTAATAACGTAATAAAAATGTACATAATTAAAAAAAAACAGCAAAATGTACCACCTTCAACCTAAT